ACAGCCTGGCCCTACCCAATCTGCTCCCATCCCTGACTCATGCAAACCAGCAGATGAGATAGCCTAGCTGGGCATGCCCCACATTCAAGCCAGGCTCTGCACTTGCCAGTGAGATAACATTGGCATGGCCCTGCCTGGTTCACCCCCTTCCAAAACTACCCCACGCATGTGCATACAGGTGGAGTTACCCTGCCTGATCTGACAAATACTCTGCTCACCAGCAGGAGCAACAGTCTATCAGGGTAGTTTCCCTAATTCCCCCACCAGACCCACTCCCAGACCCAGATTTCACATGTTGCAGTAGGTGTCAGGCCCTTACCCGTCATTGGCTATCCCCTCCACCCTGCATATGTATGAGTGGTGGATGTTGAGGCCCAGCCTCCCCCACACCATATTCTTGGGTGTGTCGGTGGGAGCTGTAGCCTTGACCAACCTGGCCTGTACCTAACCCCACGACCCATGAGTATGGGGAGGAGGGTGGTGTTCCATGGTCATGCCTAACTCAGCCTGTCACCACCCCCAGCTACAAGCAAACCAGCAGAAATCAGTTTCATATGGGTTGCCCACACATCCCCCACAAAATCTGGCCCCAGACCTAGTTCTCTTGCATGCTGTTTAGTGCTAAGGCCAAGCCTACCATTACTGGTCCCCTGTTGCAACTCTTATTGGCGAATACTGATCTAGCCTTGCCAAGTAAGCCCCCAGCCCTAGCTTTAGTGTATACCACTGAGTGGTATTCCACATTGGTCAGTACTAACTACCCCAGCTCTGTTATCCCACTAGGGCTGGTGTTTCAGTCTGAGCCTTAAAGGTCCTGGTGTACCCCTCTGAAGATCTCACAGCCAGCTGGCCCAGGAACCAATGGTACTGGGCAAAGCCATTTGGCCATGTGCCCCAAGCCTTGCCATGTGGGAGCCCACCTCTGGGGCTAGCCAGCCCCTCTGGTTCCAAGCACCCAACAAACTGATGAGCTCAGGCCTCAAGTTGATGAGTTCAGGCCTTCGGACTCAAGCCCCACCCCTGAGACAAACCAATCCACCTGGCTCTGAGTACATGGCAAGCCAATGGGCCAATCCTCCAGACCTGAGCCCAGTCCAGGGAGAGAGCAACATACCTGGCTCCAAGCCCGTGGCTGGCCGAGGGGCCTGAGACACATGGCCTGAGCCCTTCCTCCTGGGAGTCCACCCCCGGGACTAGCCCTATCAAGATATTTTATAATCAGATTCCTTAGAATCAAAATTTTAACTAATGTTAACCTGATTATTTCTGCTAGACAACCTGTTTTAAAAGTGGTGTAAGGGAAAGTCTGAAATCAAGGTGCCAGCAGGGTCAGTAGGACCTCTTCTAGATTGCAACTGTTGACTTAACAGCATATGCCATAAAGAAGTTCAGAGAGGCTCAGTTCGTCGTTGCAGCCCTGCAGTGCAAGAGCCAACATGCTGATGTTCGTTGTGAACACCAACGTGCCCCCTGCCTCAATGCCGACGGGCTCCTGTCCTAGCTCACCCAGCAGCTGGCGCAGGCCACGGGCAAGCCGGCACAGTACATCGCAGTGCATGTGGTCCCGGACCAGCTCATGGCATTCGGAGGCTCCAGTGAGCTGTGCACATTCTGCAGTCTGCACAACATCAGCAAAACAGGTGGCTTGCAGAATTGCACCTACAGCAAGCTGCTTTGTGGCCTGCTGGCCAAGCGCCTGCGGGTCAGCTCAGACAGGATCTGCATCACTACCATGATATGAGTGCGGCCAATGTGGGCTGAAACTGCTCTACCTTCGCCTGAGGGCCATCCCAGCTTTGCCGCTGCCCTGCACCCTTCATCAGCAGTGTTCCCAGCCCACTGTCCGCCCCCCCGCCCCCCACCGCTCCCAAATCGGGAGAAATAAAACGGTTCAGAGACCAAACAAAACAAAAGAAGTTCAGAGAGCTCTCTGGCCTCAGCTTCGGCTGTTGCGGCCACTTGGGGAGTGAACCAGTGGACAGAAGATCTTTCTGTATCCTCTCTCTGTAAATTTGCTTTTCCAATAAAAATAAATAAGCCTTAAAAAAACAACAACTATGAGTTGGGCCAGATATTAAAAATACAGTTAGACATAGAACTATTTATATGATCTTACTAGTCAACAATACTGTACAGTATATAAAAGGAGTCATAATCACTTTAATGCTACATTAGTTTTTGCTGAGAATTTTTCCATTCAATAAAGCAATTCAGAATAGCATACAAGAGACTGCTCATGGCACTGAAATGATTAATAATTTATGCCTGTGTAAATAATCTCTAAAGGCCACATTTCTCAGAAGTCACCAAACGTTTCCATCTCCAGTAAGTGCAACGGCCAGAGCTGGGCCAGGCCAAAGCCAGCACCAAGCTTCTATTAAGTCCCCCAAGCAAGCTCAGGGACACAAGGCAATGAATCATTTCCCTATATTTAGTGTTTATCCCTTCTAAATCATAGCTCATCCAGCACTCAGAATAATCATCTGAAATACAAATCTGACCAGACAGTCCCAGTGTGGAACTAGATTACCAGAAGAATTCAGAATACAGTCCAATCAAGCTCCAGGGTGAAGAGTCCTTAAGTTGTCCAGCCCGAACATGTCCCCTCCACCCTCTTCCCCCTTTTGGAGACCAAACATGGCTCTGTGTTCTTAACATTTAGGCGAGGCAAGCATTTCTGCCCACAAATGCCAAGGTCTCCTATAACTACAAAAAGAGCACATTCTTACTAAATCTGTAACACTGATATTAAAATGACTATAGCAACAAGTGTGTGGCACAGCAGTTACAATCCTGGACAGGAACATGTAGCCTATTAGGTGTGTGTTTCCTGTGCTGGCTCAGCTGCTCACGCTCCAGCTTCCTTCTGATGCACACTCTGGAAAGCGACAGACCACAGGTCAAGACCTTGGGTCCCTGTCACGCTCCTGGCAGACCAGGGCTGAGGGCCAGACCCTTAGCTTCTGCCCAGTCAAGCTCTGGGAGCCAGCACATGGAAGAGCTGTCTTTACATTTCATATAAAAATGGAAAGACAGTAACATCACGTAAGTAATTGTGGAAGAAAATGAATAGAGAATGCAAAATCTCTGTGACTGCAGTTAAAAATGCGATGGCACTGAACAGTAGGCAGCTTTTCTCCCAAGGCTCAAGCTGGGAAAGATGATGCATCTGTTCTTCCGGAAAAACAACACTGCCAAACCCGATTCAGTGAATTTGCCAGCAGCCATAGTTAACTGCCAGTGGTGAACTTACATTAGGTAACACGAATAATGGCCTCCAAGATCTTACATGATTTCACCCTCACATCCTCTCATGTTTTTTAACGTGTAACTCACTTGGCCTCCTTGTTTGCACACGTTGTCACACTGATACTTCAGGACCTCTGTCTTTTATACCCCCTGCATCTACAAATGTTCTGCAGACACAATGCTTCTCTTGTTTAAGCTTCTTTCGGTGGCAGCTTCCTCCAGAGGCCTCTCCTGACTTCCCCGCTTTCCTTGTGACCCTCCAACATTAGAGCAATCCCTCTATTTCACTTCTCCATATCATCTTCTTTCTTGTTTTCCTCCAAGAATCTGTCTCATCCCAAAAGGACTTTTATTTTATACCCTTCATCCGTGAATAGTACCCAGAACTTGGTGAGCTCTCAATGCATTAGTTATTGCATGAATGATACTGTGAAACAGATTATCTACTTTTGGCAGAGATGACCTTACAGACGCTGAAGCACTGAGAACTGACCTGCAGTAACACAGTTAAAGGCAGAGCTTGCGTTTAGGAGCAACCTGGCTCTCTTCCTTACTATTACTCATCTGTGGTATCTCATATGTGCTAAATGGCAAAAGTTACTATTTTGAAAAGTGTCCCTTATTCATTCCTTGAGACCAAGGGAGTATTTTGCTCCCTGTCAACTTGTAGCCCATGTATGTCACAAACTCAAAACTGCAGAATGAATGGGTGTGCAAATGAAGCGATCGGCTATGTGAAAAAAAAAATCTGAGCTTCTGCCCTAGACAAACTATTGCAAGCTTTCATATATATAATTAATTTTAATATAAAAATAAACCCTGCATTTAAAAATGTTGCCATGCCCCCCCAAAAGTCCTTCAGATTGACAAAACGTGATTTATAATGGGAGATTTAATTAAATGGATATGTTATACTATTACAGTTTTCTATAAGCTGGTTTTTAAGGCTTTGTCATTAAGCACTTAAGCCCAGACAGAACCAGTTGCAGACTCACTTCACTGATATAACTCATGCACAATATTCTCTTTGGTCAAAACCACACACACACACACACACACACACACACACACACAGAGCCATTTTCATTTTCGTAGCCACTGAGGATTTAGGAATAAACAATCAATCCACACAGAAGACGCATTCACTTACACCACTGACGCTAAGGAGAACGCCCTCCGGAGCAGCGCCCGGCCCGGGAATGCCCTGTCTGATCGCCAGGGTGAAGGCGTGGTCAGCTCGGCGCCCGACCCCGGCGACCTCAGGCCGAGTGGCCGCTGGCCTGGTCAGCCCGGCCGGACGCCGACACGGAGCCCCTCTCCGCCCGCCCCCACGCCCAGGGCCTCAGGCTTCTCCTCCGAGCTCCTCACCGCGTGCAGACTAGGGCAAAGCCATCCTGTGTCTGGCACAGCAGGACGGCTAAAGGGGACACCCGGCCATCCGCCCGGCAGGCGGAGGAAGCTCAGACACCAAGGCACAGAGCCACCACGACCCCCTAGCGCTTAACCGCCCCTCCGCGGCTCCAGCCGCAGTCACATTTCTCGCGAGACTTGTCGCCTTCACGGGATCTGAAACCTCGCGGACTCTGGGAGAGAAGCTTGGGGTGGGCGCCGCACACCTTCACCGTCCAGCAGAGCCCAACACCGCCTCCCGCCCTCCACCCGCCATGACACCCGCGAGCCGCCGCGGGCCCTGCCGTCCGCCCGGAACCGGAAGCCGCCGGGACCGGGAGGGTGGGCGGTGCCGAAAGTCAAAAAAAGCGCGGCGAGCTCCTAGCGTCTGGAGCCCCCCGGTGGTGGACCCTCGGCCGGCTCCCCGGCTGGACCTCGGTCACCATGGACTCCACCGCCTGCCTCAAGTCCCTGCTCCTGACCATCAGTCAGTACAAAGCCGTTAAGTCCGAGGCCAACGCCACCCAGCTCCTGCGGCACCTGGAGGTGAGGCACCGCGGGCTGGGGGACGCGCAGGGCCTTCCAGCCCTGTGATCCTTAGTTAGCCGCGCGTTCTGGGGGTGCGAGCACCGGCCTGGGAAACGAGACCCCCATCCAGGGGTGCGAGCACCGGCCAGGGAAACGAGACCCCCATCCAGGGGTGCGAGCACCGGCCTGGGAAACGAGACCCCATCCAGGGGTGCGAGCACCGGCCAAGGAAACGAGACCCCATCCAGGGGTGCGAGCACCGGCCAGGGAAGCGAGACCCCCCATCCAGGTGACCCTCGGTGCTGCCGACAACTACTGGAGTTCAGCTCGCTTGAGAGAGAACTGGGGGGGGGAAGAACAGTGGGAGGGGATGATGGGGCTAGAGGAAGAGGAGGGCTGAACCTCTCTGCTTAAATCTGCTTCGTGGAATAAGACAGTTCCAAACGGAGAGAGGGCGAGGAATGAGCGCCTGTTGAAGGCCCTGGGAAGCAGAGGTGTGGGACATAGGGTTGGAAATGGAGGCTGACCGCTTAGGCACTGAACAAAGTTCGGGCTTGGGCCCATGTTCCTTTGCTCCCTTGTTTTCGTTTTTTCCGCTGAAACCAAGATCTCCCGGTTAACCGATCTTCTTGGGACAGACATGTCAAGGTGCTAGGATTTTAAAATTTGTTCAATCTAGCTGCGTGGTTTATGCTCTGAATGCATTGCTTACTGTTTTTATTTGAACTCCGACTTTAAAAAATGACCTTCGATTGTGGTTTTTAAAGTTATTGAATGTTTTTATAACAGACTTACAAAACGAATGCTTTGATACATGTATTTACATGTGTTGTGCACTTTGAATATGTCAATATCCTTACGCATTTAGCACTTTTTTTTGTGGTGAAAACGTTCAAATTCCTGCCTGAATCTTTTTTCTAATAGACGCATGTAATGCAGTACACTGGGGTTGACCTACAGTAGAAGCGTCCTTAGACCTGAAGGTGATCACGAAATGCTTTCTGTGCTTCCTTTATCTCACTCAGCATAATGGCTTGCATGTCCAACCACGCATGTTGCTGTCAAGGCTGTGTATTTCAGTGCTCTTTAGCAAGCAGTTCATCCTTAATAGTAATCATAATTCATTTTCTTTACTAAAATGTATTGCTCATAGTTTGTAATCCAAAAGCGATGAGTTGTTTTGGCTTTTTCCTATTCTCATTGCTTTCTATGTAGATCTGTTGGCTTTAACCTGTTAATCTGCTGTCCTAGATGATGCATTCAAGGCATTCACATTATCACTAACACAGTCACAGCTTTCCTTTGTTAACCTACAGTTGAACATAATTTTTAAATAATAATAACTTCATGTTAATTCTGTGACAAAAGGCCAATGTTCCTAAGATTAGGAACATTGTTATAGAGTGTGATTATGAGTAGTTCAGGTACTAGAGTATATTAAATGGGTTTTTGTTCGGCTCTGTATTTATAAATCAGGCCTGCCAAATACTCTGTTTGAAGTATGATTTTCCCTGGGTTCGGACCTATATCAGTAACATTGGGGTAGCATTGTAGCAAATGAACCATCACCTGTGATACCACATGGGTGCTGATTCCTGTCCTGGCTACTCCACTTCTGATCCAGCTCACTGTTAATATGCCTGTGGAATCAGCATTCGATCCTCCAGTACATGGACCACTGCACAGACATGGGGGACCTGGGAGAAACTCCTGGCTCCTGGCTTTGGCCCAGCTCAGCCCTGGTTTTTTTTAAAAAAAGAGGGGAAATCACCAATTATTTAAATTTAAAACATAAGAACTTATTTTATACATTTTTCCAGTTTGTGAGGAGTGACGGAAGCATCTGCCCTTAAAACCCTGCCATTTTGGACTTGTTACCTTTTAACATATCTGCTTCCCCTAGGTCTCAGCTTCTTAATATTTGCCACCTTTTAGGTTCGAATTTTGTTGTTTGCCAATCTGCTGTAATCTTGCAACCCTGTTCTCCACCAGTCTGCTGAAATTTTATAACTGTTCCCACTGCTCCACTTTAACCTCATGGTACCCTATGTGACTGCCCTATCCATACACTAATCTGTTAACAGTACCCAGCTAGCGCTGCATCTGCCAATCCCTCACAGCCCTCCCTTGGCCCTCTCCACCAGTCAGGGCCAGTGATACCCACCCCGCCATAAAGGTACACTCCCCATGAGCATGCATGCTGTTCTTGCTCTCCTCCTCTGCATTCCCTTGGAGCCCCTTCCTGCCACTATGGCAGAAGACCGCCCCCCCCCCCCCCTTCACTTCTCTCTCTCCCTCTGTCTCTTTCTCTCTCTTTCTCTGTCTCCGCTCCCATCCCCAGGGCTATCTTCCCTGATGGAGTGAAACCTGCATGGCTGGCAGTGTCTGCTGTTTTAGCTTGTCACAGCAAACTGAAAAGAGCTAATGCCAAAAGAAAAGAATAACAACTGTATATGTTTTAATACAAGTATAATTTCTTTTTAGCATTATTTCAAATAGAAAATGTCTTAGCCTTTTGGAGGGCCTGATTCATAAATAGGGAAAAGAAACATTTTCAGAATACCTATTTTCAGATATTTCATATTTGACTTGTTTTTCCAGCTTGTGTATTTCTTCGTTTGTTTGAAACATCTATTTCAAAACCAGAGTTAACAGAGAGAGGGGGAGACACAGATCATCCATCTGCTGGTTCACTTCTCAGAGAGGTATCAAGGTTGGGACTGCGCCAGTTTGAAGCCAGGAGCCCAGAGCTTCTTGCAGGTCTCTGATGCCTGCTGCTTTCCGAGTGCATTAGTAGGAAGCAGGATGCAGAGTAGAGCTGGGGCCAGCGTGGTGTCTCAACAGGCTAATCCTCTACCTGGTAGTGCTGGCACCCCATATGGGTACTGATTCTAGTCCCAGCTGTTCCACTTTCAATCCAGCTCCCTGCCTATGTACTAGGAGGACAGTGGAGAATGGCTCAGGTCCTTGAGTCCCATCTGGGAGACCTGAACAAGGCTCCTGGCTCCTGCATTCAGATCAGCTTAGCCCTGGCCTTTGCAGTTGTTTGGAGAATGACCCAGCAGATGGAGGATCTCTCTCTCTTTTCTCTTTGTGAATCTGCCTTTCAAATAAAAACAGGTAAATCTTTAAAATATTTAAGTGAATCAGCTGACACTAAAACCTGTGCCCTTAAGGGAAGCCACCACTGCAGGCTGCAGGTTAATTTAGTGAGCTACAAACTAACCAATGCCCTTTTTTTTATTATTATTATGGGAAAAAAGTGATGAATACATTTGTGGGACATTTTATGCTTTTTGACAACTCATTTTAGTGTTTAAATCTCAACTTTACCTCCCTTCCAGCACCCCTGTTCTCCCTTGCCTTACCTGTCTTTCCTACTCTTCCTTCTTTCCATGTAATTTCTAGGCCTTAACAACATAATAAAAATGGAATGATTGAAAATGAAATTTCTCAGTGCCTTTCTGTTTGCTTGAAAAAGTTTCTCTCAGAGTTCCCCGTAGTCTTAATTTCTGAGCTCATGTGTTGCCTTTGGGAAGGGGCTGGAGTAATCTCATAATTTCCCACTGGACATCATTTTCTTTCCGCAAAATAAATGGAATAAGTGAACTTGGAATTTATTTATACATGAAATATATTGATACTGGAGTACAGATTTGTGTATTTATTTTTCTGTTGCAGTCTGGATAATCAAAACTTACTAATACTTGAAACAGACATAATTAATATTATAAAAGTAATGCAAGGTGTAAGTAATCTTTGAGGCCGATACAACATCATGTGTGAATTTTCTAGATTGTGGAAGGTGGCAGTCACACCTTGGAAGAATTTTTTTTTTTATGTGAAACAGAAGAGGTGAAAATTGTCACCTTCACTGTTAGTTACTTTTTGCATCAAAATGAAATACCTGAAGTAAATAATTTCGTATTTTTGGAGGATTAAAATCTCAGATCAGGTGACCAGTTTGGTTTTGCTTGTACTAAGAGTAGCAAATGACAAAACATCTTGGTGGGAACCCTGGTAGGTGTGAACTGTCACAGAAAATGGATTAGAAACATGGGTAGAGCCATGCTTCAAGCTTTAATTCTACAACTCTGATGAGAAATGTGTTCTGAGGGCCTGCTCCCAATGATATTCAAAATCCAATCAGTAGAATCAACTTTTAACTAATACATTTGGGTTACTGTTTATAGGTAATTTCTGGACAGAAGCTCACACGACTGTTTACATCAAATCAGATATTACCAAGTGAATGCTTAAGTTGCCTGGTAGAACTTCTTGAAGACCCAAACATAAGTGCTTCGTTGATATTAAGTATTATCAGTCTACTATCTCAACTAGGTAATGCATTTAATTTTACTCTGTTTTGTTTGTTTCTTTGTTTTGTTTTGTTTTCAAACATAAATTCAGTCTTTTCAAAGTACAGATTTAGTTAGAATAATCTCTTAGGAAATGATTGGCGTTTAAAGATTTCATGCAGAGCTTCTCAGAACTTTTATACCTTGTGCATGTCTTAGATGGAGAATGTCCTCGTATGTAGCATTTTTATAATTGTTGGGCAAAGACACCTGAAAGAAAAAATTAGGTGTTCTACTGAACAGAATGGACTTTAGGAAGATATGGCCTACTTGTGAGTTTAAAAATGCCAATGAAAAGATCCACACATATACTCAATGTCAGTGTTAATTATACCATTCAAAGGCAAATATGTACCAATTAAGGAATCATTGAACTTAAGAGTGAAAGTACTGATGTAGGGCCTGACACATTAGCCTAGCAGCTAAACTCTTCTCCTTGCAGATGCCAGGATCCCATGTAAGCACTGGTTCCTATCCCATCTGCTCCACTTCCCTTCTAGCTCCCTGCTTGTGGCATGGGAAAGTGGTAGAGGATGGCCCAAAGCCTGACTTCAGATCAGCTCAGCTCTGTTGTGGCCACTTGCAGAGTGAACCAGTGGGTAGAAGATATGTGTGTGTTTCCCCTCCATGTAAATCCGACTTTCCAATACAAAGAAACAAATCTTAAAAAAAAAAAAAAAAAAAAGAAAGAAAGAAAGAAATAAAATACGGGTGTTGCATTCCTTATTTTTCTCATTTTTAGTTATTAACTTTCATGTGATAATCTGTTCTCTCCTTACCCACCCCCAATTTGTGGGTAGGAGTATATATCTATATTTGATTAACATTAACACAGTGCAATATAGTTTTCTTTAGTAATGAAGTGCTATTTAATTATTCTAAATTTAAATAGCCACATAAAAGCTAGTGATTATCAAATTAGTATAGATATAGCACATCGTTTCTATCTTTGAGTATAAAATCTTATTTAACGGTTTAATATGTGTGTTTTTAGATCTCTCATGCTATTATAAATCATTTTAGATCTTTATTTGATCATTTTTAACATGAATGATGATACCCAGCACCATTTCCCATGTTACTGTATGTTATTAATATTTATCTGTTTGGGCCTGGCACTATAACCTAATGACTAAAGTCCTCACTTGCATGCGCCGGGATTCCATGTTCTAATCCTGGAAGCCTTGCTTCCCATCCAACTCCCTGCTTGTGGTCTGGGAAAGCAAAGGAGGACAACCCAAAGTCTTGGGTTCCTGCACCCATGTGGGAGACCCAGATGAAGCTTCAGGCTCCTGGCTTCAGATCTCCGCTCCAACCGTTGCAGCCGCTTGGGCGGTGAATCATTGGACAAAAGATCTTCCTCTCTGTCTCTCCTCCTCTCTGTATATCTGATTTTGCAATAAGAATAAAATAAATCTTTTTTTAAAATTTAAAAAAATAATAAGTTTTTAATTTGAAAATCAGAGTGACAAAGAATAAGAAAAAGCATGCAGCTACATGGTTTACTCCCCAGATGGCCATGATAGCATGGGGGCGGAAGTCCACTGAAGGCTGGAGCTGCTTCCAGGTCTCCCATGTGGGCGGCCTGGTCACAGGGTACTTGGCCTGTTTTTTACGGCTTTTCCCAGGCCATTAGAGAACTAGATCAGAAGTGGAGCACCTGGGGCTTGAAGTGCCCAGAGAGGAACCTACATTGCAGATGGTGACTTAATCCTTCCTACGTGATGTTTTTCAATGGCTAACTGCCTTAATTAAAGTCTACTGTAATTTATGCAGCCATCCCCCTAAGAGTGGACACATGTACTTTTTGAAGTTTCTCTATTAAAATCAATCACATAATGCTTTCGGATAAAAGAGTGTCAGATTATTTTAAAATTTGATAGCCATTACTAAATTATTTTTTGAAATAGCACTGCAACTGCTAATCCAACTTTTAGTTTGAATAGTTGTTTTTCAGCATTTAAATATATTAAAAATATTTTCAGTGATAATATTTTCACTTCTAAATTATATAGTTTTTTTAGTTAACACACTTTTTAGAAATATTTCAGGTTCATTGAAGAATTGAAATGATAACCTTTTAATGAACAAATTTTTACAAGCACGTAACACTAGTTTTTTTTTTTTTTAATATTGAGAAATCATATGAACCTCTGAATTGGATTGCTAAATAAAATTGTTTTTTTTTTTTTATTCCTGAAGACCTTATTTAAAATAGTGTGTGTTTTACTGTCTTCACAGCTGTGGACAATGAAACCAGAGACTGCCTTCAGAGTACGTACAACCTGAACAGTGTCCTGGCAGGAGTGATCTGTCGCAGCAGCACCTGCCACAATGACTCAGTGTTTTTACAGGTATGCACTTCTCCATGGTTTACTATCTTTTCATACCTATTCTTAGATAAAAATTGAGAGTATTTGTTGTAAATTGCTAATGTAGAGTGTATTTGCTGGAATAATACTATATGATTAGGCACAGTTCTCGCTAGTAAGAGCTAGCTGCACACACAAGTATCACTTCTTAAATACTTCTAGAGAAGGGCAGCTTTCCCACATCCTGCATCATTATTGAAGAAATACAGTTCTGCATTATAACTGCTTTGAATTATAAACAGATGTTTTCATTTTGAAATGTAAATTATTCATATTAAAATAGTAATCTGAATTAGATTCAAGTGTATTCTGCTAAGGAAACATCCTATAAAAAGTAAAGCTATAGATTTAGTCTTAGTACCGATTCCATGTTCTCATTCCCATTACATTTAATTGGATCTAAACAGGCATTACTTGTAAGACAGGAAGACATCAATTAAACCAACATGAACTTTTAATGGTATTAACGTGTAAAAAGAATTATCTTGAGATTTATGATGGTGATGATGATGTGTGTGTGAATCAGTAGAATCTAAATTCAAGTTAAAGATAATTTAAGTGAACAAAATTGGAGATTATGTTCTATTTGAGAAAAAATGTATTAAAATGTATAAACAAGAAAGGGACCCTAAGGTTATTAGTAGTCTTGTTATTTTGTATGCGTTCAAGGAAAATACATTTTTTAAGAAATAAAAAAGTTCTTGCCCCGACCTCTGCTATCTAAAATGGTGCTGTATGTTCTCATGATGAAGCAGTATGTTTTTATGTTTATATTCATGACTCTTTTCTTATTTACAGTGTATTCAACTTTTGCAGAGGTTAACTTATAATGTCAAAATGTTCCAATCTGGTGCCAACATAGATGAATTAATTATGTACCTGATAGATCATATGTGAGTATGTAACCAAACATGTAACAAGATAATCTATTGTTTTTAAGCTAAAACCACATGGCAGCTCACTTTTTCTTGCATAATAGTTTCCTAGCTTTTAACTGAATGAGACTGTGAGTCTAATTTGTTCCTTAGATCACTTCAAATCAAATGTTGTAAAATGGGTATAATTTTCAAAAAGAATTTATGGAAGGAATTTTTTGCCCAAAAAATGCATAAAATAAGAATTTTATGTTTATGTGGGACTTAGGATAATAATACTGATGCTGATAAACTGAGTGGAATAATTTAATTTTAAAGCGTAAAAGTGGTCAGTACTATTCTGAACTAACATTGATGTGTTTTTTTTGCATATAAAAATTTACATGCTCCATTGCTCTATTATTTGACTAATTTGGGATTAATACTGTCTTTATTCTTTGTATTTAAAATATTGCAACGCAACAGTCAGTCTTCTGAAGATGAATTAACAATGCCTTGTCTGGGATTATTGGCAAATCTTTGTCGGCACAATCTTTCTGTTCAAACACACATAAAGACTTTGGTAAGAATTTTTTCAAGTTTTACTTGATTTGTAATAGATTATATATTTAGAGAAAATAGTACCCATATTTTTGTTTAAAACATTTAATGAGAATTCTTAAATATTGTTCAAATAAATGATCCATCAAAACCAATGGAAACAGAAACTGACATGAATATCTTGAAGCATTCTAGCTTTTGTGTATGTTGTATTGAAGAGTACAAGTTTTCCCTCTTCTTGTATCCTTTTATTTGTCATTTGAGAACCCATGGATTCCTAAATTGTTATCTATATCATAATAAAAGCTAAAATATCCTTAGGAGGCCTATTTACCTCACTCTGTGTTTGCACAAAGTCAGTGTTACCTCTACCAGCAAGATCCTGAGTGAGCAGAAGTGTCAAGTGCCTGGGGCTGGAATAAGTGAAGACCCTAAAATGAAGTGAATGAACTGAGCTACTTTTTGAAATAAATTAAAGCAAGAAATTTAATTTATAGTTTAAAATGTTTTGTAGAAAATTTCCATGTACAATATATAGAGTTGTTTGGCACTTAGATTAAATATCTCATATAGAAGGAGAGACGCAGATAGATCTTTAATTCACTAGTTCACTACCCAAATGGCTGCACATTACTGAATTTGGGAGACCGCTTGGCACTAGGGCCGTCCTCTGCTGTTTTCCTAGGCATCGTAGCAGGGAAGTGGATCTCAGGTGGACAGCCAGGGCGGGAACCAGTGTTCTGATGTGAAATGTCCTTGTTGCGAGCAGTGGCCTAACCCTCAGTGCCACAGTACTGGTATCTGATCTATTTTTTAAAATTAGAGTTTTATTTTTGAGCTGTGATAGTGTTTCAGAAAGCTTTATAAAGAAGGAAGAGGGAAGGAGTAGAGAGCTCTTAGTATGAAAATATTTATGTGTACAACATAGTTTCTCTTCCAAGAAAGAAAAACTTCCCTATTTTAGTAGGCAAATTTTATAAAGCCTAACCATTCATAATTCCAGTTAGAAACAGCGCCTCACTACAATTGTACCTGTGAGTACATAAATACAGGAAGAAATGTGGCTAACTCCTAGAATCATGTCTTCAGTCAGAGTGGTTATAAGCAAATTTGACAGTTAATTACTACCCTAAATTATATAACACAAAATATTTAAATTGCTGAGTATTTTCTTGTTTTTCACATAATTATGAGTGTACCTCTTTCTCTTCTTTTTCAAGGATTAATTTATTTAAATACACAGAGTGAGTAACAGATCTGCTGGTTCCCTCTCCAAATGTCCAGGAGAGCCAGGCTGGACCAGGCCGGAGTTAGAAGTCTCGAACCTCCATCCTCATCTCCCATGTGGATGGCTGGAGCCCATGTCATGCTCCATTTTCCAGTGCTTCCTCGGGAACATTATCAGTTAACCGGATCAGAGTGGAGGAGCCAGAACTAAAACTGTCACTTAGATGGAAGATGCTGACATGGAGCTTAAAGCACACTGCCATCACCTTCATTGTGTTTTTTTAAATTTAATTATTTAAGAGGCAGAGAGAAAGAGAGAGTAAGCGATAGAGTGAGTAAGCAAGAGAGTGAGCAGGCCACCATCCACTGACCCACTGCTCAAATGCCCACCACATCAAGGCCCTAAGCAAGGTGCTTAGAACTCAGTCCATGTCCCTTATGTGGAAGAGAGATCCAATCAGTTGAGCTGTCATTTTAGCTCCCCAGGGTCCATGTTTGTTGAAAGCTGGAATCAGGAGCAGAGCTGACCACTGATTTTCAGTTTTATAAGATTATTGTTGTAAAGGAGAAATTTAGATTCCTGATAAATGGAAATTCAGAGGTTGTTTAATATAAACAAACAGCATTTTCAGAAAGAAAAAAATTAGTGAAGATGTACAAACTACTAGCAATTAAATTTCTGCTGTATTTGTCTCCCTAAAATGATTCTGGACTAAGCATGGTAGCCTAGCGGCTAAAGTCCTTGCCTTGCACACTTTGGAATTCCATATGGGCATGGGCAATGGTGCTAATCCCCTCGGCACCACTTCCCATCCAGCTTCCTACTTATGGCCTAAGGAAGCAGTTGAGGATGGCCCAAACCCTTGGGACCCTGTACCCATGTGGGAGACCTGAAAGAAGCTCTTGGCTCCTGGCTTCGGATCAGTTCAGCTCTAGCCATTGCGGCCTCTTGGGGAGTGAATCAGCAGATACAAGATCTTTCTCTCTGTCTCTCATCCCTCTGTATATCTGAAATAAAAACAAATAACCAGGCCCGGCGCAATCGTGCAGTGGTTAAAGTCCTCGCCTTGCACGCCCAGGATCCCATATGGGCGCCAGTTCTATCCCGGCAGCCCCACTTCCCTTCCAGCTCCCTGCCTGTGGCCCGGGAAAGCAGTCGAGGATGGCCCAAAGCTTTGGGACCCTGCACCCACGTGGGAGACCCGGAAGAGTCTCCTGGCTTCGGATGGGCATAGCATCAGCCATTGCGCTCACTTGGGGAGTAAATCATAGGATGGAAGATCTTCCTCTCTGTCTCTCCTCTCTGTATATCCGCCTTTCCAATGGAAAAAAAAATCTTTAAAAGAAAACCCAAATAATCTTTAATAATAATAAAATAATAATTTCTTGGTAGTAAATCAGGGTATGAATTCTTGGAGTTCAAAGGGGATATAGAGTTAGAATACTGATGTACTTATCTTAAGTACTATAGGGAGCTACTTAAGGTAATATGAAAGAAGTGTTTGTGCAGATGTGGTGTGTTGGTTTGACTACACTATTGCACTTCCCACCCAACTTCCTAATGTGCAAGTTTTGTCACTCTGTAGCAGATATACTTTTTGAAAGAAAATACAAAAAAACTTTTTCATTCTAATTTTTTTTTTCCTCAGAGCAATGTGAAATCGCTTTATCGAACCCTTATAGCCTTCTTGGCGCATAGTAGTCTAACTGTGGTTGTATTTGCACTTTCGATATTGTCCAGTTTGACTTTAAATGAAGAAGTGGGGGAAAAGGTAAAGACGATTTTTTTTCTACTTAAGAGGTGTGTAATTTCTAACATTTTTAGTCTTTGAAGCTTTTTGCATTTTATGATGTTATCAACTTACAGTTTCTATTATTTACTTAATTTGTTTTTAAGCTATTCCATGCTCGAAACATTCATCAGACTTTTCAACTAATATTTAATATTCTCATAAATGGTGATGGGACACTGACTAGAAAGTATTCGGTTGACCTACTGATGGATCTCCTTAAGAATCCTAAAATTGCTGATTATCTTACCAGGTATGACTTAATTTAGTAAATTTTAGGCCTTTATTGTTTTATTTAACCACAACATGTTTCTGATAAAGTGACATTTTAGAAGTGGTAACCTTGGATTCTACTTTAGTGTAGGCCAAGTTAAAGACTAAGTTGAAATGTTGTAATTTACTCCCATTGTTTTTGTTTTCCTGAGTGAAGTGAAGTGTAAATCAAATCAGTTGTGTCATTGTCCAAAATACAGACATTTTCACTGACCTGTTTAAAATGAGCAGTGGCAGGTTCCCAGGCATAGCTGGCATGAATGTGATGTGGAGCATCTGGGACGCATCCAGTACCACTCTGGGCAGATGGTATACAGGCAGCAGCTTCACATAGCCACTGTTACTGGTCCCTCTTGCAATTTAAGATGTGACAATAACACTAATACAAACTTTTTTTCCTAAAAATTTTACATATAGAAAGTTTGTTCTTATAAATGTTAGCCATCTCAGAACATATTTTTTCTCTCTTAAAGAGGTAGAGAACTTTAACCTAATCACTGAAAAAGAAGCATTTTGTAGTTTCTCTTAGCAATTCAAAGTGCCAACATCACTATTTTTGGACATAGAGGCTATTATTAAGTAAACTGGGTTGCTTTTAACATAAGCATCATGATACCTTCCGTGACAGTTTGATAAACAATGTGCCTGTTTAGGACTTGCAAATGGGTAGTGTAAGTAATGTGGACGAAGGGATAATTCATATCCCAGGAGAACAAAGTAGGATGGCACAGGATTTCTCCATGGTACTTAGAACAATATGCAATTTAAAACTTACGTACTGTTTGTTTCTGGAATTTTATATTCAGTAGTTTTACCTGAGCTTGTGCCTAAGTAATTGAAACCGTGCAAGTGTAGGGAAAAAATGAGTACTTCTGCATAGTCATCCTGCCGGATAGTGTTTGTTTAAGTTTCATGGTAAACAGAATCAGCAAAACTAAAGGATAATTTGATTTAGTATCATTAAGAAGTTAGTTAAGGGCTTGACACGATGGCTCAGTGCCCAAATCCTTGCCTTGCATGTGCCAGGATCCCATATGAACACTGGTTCGTGTACCAGCTACTCCACTTCCCATCTACTTGCCTGCTTGTGACCTGGGAAGGCCATAGGGAGACCCAGAAGAAACTCCTGGCTCTTGGCTTCAGATCTACTCAGCTCCAGCTGTTGCAGTCACTTGGCGAGTGAACCAGTGGATGGAAGATCTTTTACTCTGTCTTTCCTTCTTTGTGTAAATCTGTCAGTTCAATAAATAAGTCTTTTGTAAAAAGGGAAAAATAGTAGTTAGTCGATCACTCATTCTGTAAACCTCTTAGTTTCATTCTCTAACCTAGAATTTCAGCCAATTCTTGCAAGTCCTTTGCTTATCTGTTCTATTATTCAGCAAAATACCAAAAAAAAGCAATCCCAGCTGATTGGATTTCACAAATTTGGCCAAAGAGAAACTGTCTGTGAATGTAATTTGTTTCACGTTCTTTCAATCATGTCCTACTATTCTATGAATTTAGTGTGGAAGCATCAACTATTTTCACATAATTGACCAATTTTGGTTTTTTAGTTTATATAAGGATGTCCAACTTGCAACTTTTCCTTAAACTACATAAGCTTCCTAAAATCTGCAGTGTCTAAAATTTGCCTTGTGGTACAGCTAGTAATCCTGCTTGCAGTGCTGGCTTCCCAGATGAGTACGGTTCTACTTCCCTGGGACTGCGCCTGGGAATGCAGTGGAAAGTGGCCAGCTACCCCCATTTTGCTATTCCTGACATCTGGCTCCTGGGCTTATTGTAATAGCCATTAGGGCAGTGAAACAGCAGGTGGAAAATCTCTATTTCTACCTCTCTGATGTATATTCTATTCAAAATGAACATCAAAATTTTATTATAGTCTTAATGTTTTATTTGCTTTTTTTGTGAGGTCATACCAACCAGTACACAGAATCTCTGACTTGGCTAGAGATGCTATGTCATTTGTCTACTGCTAGTTTTTGTGTCGTATTTCCACTGAGAGTCTGGAATACTTTAAGATAATTTTTTCCATTTATTTATTTGAAAGGTGGAGGTACAGAGAGGAGGACATAGAAGGGGAGATCTTGCATTGCCTAATATCTTATTTGTTCTTTTTGAGAAAGTCTTGCCTGATTAGGACTGTCCTGTCAAGTCTGGATTTTCTACCCACCCTCTGTTTATAGAATCACATACATTTATCATACCACTGTAGTTTAGATTACTTTATTAATCAATATTTCTGTCTCCATTTTTGGGCCATGAACTCCTTAACAGGTTATCATTTTCCCTAGTCTAGGATGTACTCAGTTACATAGATTATGAATGATTCTTCTCTGGTCTGAAATTTCCTAGAGTTGTATAACAAGGTGGCTGCCCAGTATTTCTGTTAACTTTAGAACTTATTTTAATACCTGGTGATTTTAGGTGCTATTTAGAAATAAGTGGTCACATTACTAGCTTATTAGCATATGACTTTGATCTTTGAATTTCACTAACTGAGCATAATATTTTTAAGGCAATCAAGTTCTTAAAAAATTCAATGATTTATTTAATATATGAACCATTGTGTTTCAAATGGCAGGGCCAAATAGCAATAAAATATATGTTCCACATTTTATGTCCAGGTGACCTTAAGCTTACCATGGTTTGAGATATGGTTTTTGACTTTCCATTGGAGCAAGAACTATATGCTCATAACTTTATCTATCTATCTATCTATATATATATATATAGATATAGTAGAATTCACTGCTCTTTTTGGGTTTTAATCTTGAGAACAGAGAGGACTTCCATCTGCTGGTTCACCCTCCACATGGCTGCAATGGCCAGAGTTGAGTTGATCAAAACTGTCAACCAGGATCTTCCACATTTCCTACATGGGTGCAGGGGCCCAAGGACGTGGTGCCATCCTCCTTTGCACATATGGGATCCCAGCACTACAGGCAGAGAATTAGCCTGCCATTCATAAATCGTGGGTAAACAGCTGGTGCTCTTATAGTGTAACTGTATTGATAAGTCACAGTTTTTGGTGTATTAAATGCCTTTTTAACTTTGGATGAATTTAGGGGCATCTGTATAAGCTTTATAAGGACTTTAAAGGTGGTATTCTGTACTAGGAGCCCAAATAAGTAAATGGGTAAAAGAAATTAATCTTAATTTTATATTCATCTTATAGATAAATCCCTTTAGCTACATCAGTTTCTTAGTATTTAATTGGCACATGATTATTTGGCATATGCTTTTAAACCTAGGTATGAGCACTTTTCTTCATGTCTTAGTCAAGTACTTAGTCTTCTCAATGGGAAGGATCCTGATTCTTCTTCAAAGGTAGGTAAAAACATGACTTTTTAAGCTGTAAAAAGTATTATGTATAGAAAAAATGAACTGCACCAGTGTCTGAATTATTACAAATCGAAGCAGTTATGTAACTTCTAGATCGGAAATTGGAATATAATAATATAATCCTCTTGGGATCGTGTTTAGTCAACCCCTACCACTTCCTATCTCTTACCCTTACTAAAGGTTAGAAGCATATTAACTATTAATAATATATTTTTTCCTAATTTTGCAGTTATGTAAATAGAGAAATATATATGTACAAATAAATATTGAATCTAGATATTTTTGTTCAATACTATGTTGCAAAATGCATTTGCATTTCATAGTTGATCTTTTTTATGTATTTGGGTTCAATAAATTATTTATCGTATTCTGTATAGCTTTTAGTAGGCTTATGAACAGATCTAACAGCTTTTTATCTTGGACTGAAATTTCTGTGTCATAGAGTATACAAATATACAGTAGACAATATGAAATAGAAAGGATTTGGTTATAGCCATATATGAAGATTTTGTCATTGTGCATTCTTTCAAGTGCTTTATATTTTCCATCTTTTTCATTTTAATCCTTCTGATAGTTGTAGAGCAATTTTATTGTATTTTTAAATTTGTGCTTCGGCAATGATCAGTAAAATAATACATTCACATACTTGCTACCCTTTGTGTATCTTTGTTAAAGTGCTTGTTAATTTCTTGCTCATTTTTTTAATGCTTTATCTGCCTTTCTCACATTTATATATACCAGTTTTTTGGGGATGTAGATTACATCCTAAATTTTCCTCTTGTGAATTGCCTTTTCACTCACTTAATGGTGTCTTCATCTTAATTTCTTTTTGTAGGGGAAAAACTTGTAGTTTTTTTTTGTTTTTTTGTTTTGTTTTGTTTTTTTTAATACTGCATAGGCATGTTCGATTGTGAGGTCTGTTGTAACCTCAGTAGCAAAACCCACGAAGTACACTACAAGATCAGTATCTTGAATGAACAAACTGTTTTACACATCTAATCTAGTCAAATCTAATGATATGAAAACATCACGTTTCATTACCAAGTGTGAATTTTCCCAAGAATGTAGTGATTGCTTACCATATGAGAATAAATTACCTTCTCAGATTAATAGAAAAGAGCAGAAAATCAGATTCTCATGTCATTAATGAAAAAATAAACAGGAGATAAATTTTATGTTGATTTATGATTAGGAGACCAGGAATAAAAGAAAACTTCCTTTCTTTGATAGAGTAACTGCCAAAAATCTATTGCATCATCTTTCTCTTTTTAATCTTTTATTTCCGAGGTAGAAACAGAAAGAAGAGTTCCCATCCTCTTCTTTCATTCCTCAGATGCCCTCGCTGAGACTGTTCCAATCCCTTAGAATTGTAAAGAGCCCAGATGTCTTCAGTAGGGGAATAAGTCACTGTGTATTTTCACATTAAGATCCTACATAGCAGTGACAATTAATAAAAATGCCACTACATGTAACAATGTGGGTGAGTCTCCCATAATGCTAAGCTATAGAAGCCAGACAGGGGGTGTATGTGTGCATGTATGTGTGTGTGGAAGATTACATTAGGTGTCAATTGATAGACAAATTTTTCTTCATAAACTTGCAGACTGACAACTAAATTTGGAAATGGTGAGATCCAAAATAACCAAGATAAAAAGATAAAATTAATCTGTTAATGAGTCTAGTGGAGAGAATTAGCTATTTAAGATATTATTTAGGAGAAGATGTACATGGGTCCTGGAATTAGAGTTCCATTTGTTTGTCTGGTTGCTAGTTACACATAGTTACGGACACTGGGAAAAAATCAGCTAGCTTTGTACTGATGTTCAATTTGTTTATTCTTAGTATGTAATGAAACTAATATACATGGAAAGCTATCTGCTTGTATGTTAATATGCCTGTAGTGAAATATGAAATAAGATAGTAACAAGTTCTGAGAATAGAGACAAATCAAGTACTACCTATCACATTTAAAGGAATAAATCAAATATTGTTTATCATTTGTCACAGTAGATGCCATTGGGCTGAATCCTGTTAAAACTGGATACTACCAATTTGATTGTAACAAATCATAATTTCCAGTAAGCAGTCATAAAGTTAGAAAATTGGTTGATAGGCAAACAGATTCCTTTTCTTTTTTTGAAAGAAAAATTTTTTTAATGTTCAAAAGTTAGGGAAGATTTTTCCTTACTGCTTAAGTAGGTTGATATGAAACGTAACAGGAAAAGGCCCAACTTATTCTGCGAAGAGGAAAGGATACATACAGTAGGGGAGATAATAAGCATGATGATGGTGCAGTATGCAGACATAGTAAGGTTTTAGGCAAGCTGGGGGAGTCTGGTCACCTCTTGCAGCCTGCAAAATGTAGTGTGGCCCTGCTAAGGCATCCTCAGATGGGATGCAAAATTCAATATGTCTATAACAGGCTAATTTTTTAAACTGATAATTTTGTGGCCCAGAAAGTATCACTAATCATATTGTTAATTCTCATTTTGTTACTTTAGTTTCATTTTTGTTACTTTAAAAAAGAAATTTGTGTTTAAATAATATCAAAGGAACGTAATTAGTAACTTGAAAGTTACTTTTAATTTTCGTTTTAGAGTGCATTTTGTTTAATATGGCGTTTTCAGCCTCATTGTATGCTTGCTTTGTGTATTGAAGTCTAAGTTGACATTTACTGAAGACTTTATATTGCACAGGTTTTAGAATTACTTCTTGCCTTCTGTTCAGTGACTCAGCTTCGCCATGTGCTCACTCAGATGATGTTTGAACAGTCACCATCTGGCAGCTCCGTTCTGGGAAGCCGGTCTAAATGTTTAGAACCTAATGTGGCTTTACTTCGTTGGATAAGCCAACCTTTGGATGGATCAGAAACCTGTTCTGTTTTAGCTTTGGAGTTGTTCAAGGAGATATTTGAGGTAATAGAATGATACTGATTTTTTTTCTTTCATGACTCAATTTGTTTTTAGAAGCATTCATAGCAAACTTCTAAGTATTGATAGATTTGGGGAAAAATCTTACAGTTGTTAGCAATCATGCTAGACTATGTAACTTATTAGATTTTTGTTCCTGACAGTCACATCTATTAATATTTTGCATGTTTTCACTAAAGAGCATATACCTACCCATTTCTTTAATAATAAGCAAAGTTATTAATGAGGTTCTGCTGATTGATTATTGTATGAACATATTGTTTCCATCTCATTAGATACTATATACTGTTTTATTAACTGTTGAGTAAGTTGACTTAATAATATTGAAAAGAATTGGCAGATGGCATCCACTGTACTTAGGCATAGGATACAGACCACGATTTTTACCTTCTTGTAAATTCTATTGGGGAATTTACTGTTCTGCGCTGTTTTTGCTATCGTCCAGGCTACCTTAATGTCCGTTGGCACAAATGTATTTATAGTGACTAAGTATGAGGATACTTGAGAAAGTCCATAGAAATTGCATTTTCTAAAAGGCGTGAAGTGGCTGAGCCTTTTTATCAGTAGAATCTGAGTGATAGTGTTACTCAGGTTAACATGTTTTATCCTTACTGTCAAATTAGTAAGAATGTATCTGTATGCACCAAAATAAACTTATCTGTTTTCATTAAAGGTTATGTACAAATTATTTTATATTGATTTTTGGACAGTTTATGAGATTCTTAATAGAAATTATTTGCAGTTGGAGACTTAAGATAAATATCTGTTGTTCAATGTTACATTGCATTTAGAATATTTGGGATTTTTTTTCAGTAAATGCTTTTAAATGTAGAATAGTTTTTAAAGTCACAACATTATTAAAAGTGTCTTATAAAAAGCCTTAATTTCCCTCAAGATTTTAAAAAGGTGAATTTTAGGTAATTTTAGTAAGAGACTTGAAACAATAGAGTATTGAAGTAAATACAAGTGATTCAAAGACACAGACTTAATGAGGACTCTTTATGTGTTCTGTATTGCATCTTAATTTTAATTGTTCGTGGTGGCTGATTCTCCAGGATGTGATAGACTCTGCTAACTGTTCCTTGGCTGACCATTTTGTGACCCTTCTGCTGCCATCAATTCTTGATCAGCTTCAATTCACAGAACAAAATATGGATGAGGCCTTAATGCGAAAAAAGTGTGAAAGGATGGTCAAGGCCATTGAAGTTTTATTAAATATCCTTTGCTCTCATAAATAAACATTTTTTTCATTGTACTATGATACTGCATATTATTCTCATGTATTGAGAATCATTGAACTAAAGTTTAAACTGTAGAGAATGTTTTTAAGTTTTGTAAGTTTTTTAAGTTTTTGTAAATGTTTTGAACAAGTGCATTTTGCAAATTGCGTTAAACTTGAGTGGAATAGTTGTGAATGCTTTTATTTTAAAAAGGTAAGTTACAAAAAAAACTCAGACAAAAATCTCAGCAATTCTTTCAATACTCCTATATCTAATATATATTCTCCCAACAAATAAAACAGCATGCCATGGAATAGTTGGTATCTAGAGGTATGTTGTGAACTAATTGGTCCTTACTGCTTGTTACCCTCAAGAGATTTATTTACTTGAAAGAGTTACAGAGAAGTGAGCAGAGAGAGAGAAAGAGCACACTTCTATCTGTTGATTCACTCCCCAGGTAGCCATAATGGCCAGGGCTGGATGAGAGGAAGTTGAGAGCATCTTCCAGGTCTCCCATATATATGGCAGGTTATAGACATCTGAGCCATCTTCTGCTTTTCTCAGACCATTGGCAGGGAGCTAGATCAGAAGTGGAACAGCTAGGACAAAAACTAGTGCCCATATGGCATGCCAGTACATTTATCTGTTATGCTGCAGGGCTGGTCCCCTCATTTGCTTTTGAAAAAATTGCTGCCCATGGATAATTTTTGGGCTGTTTTATTTGTTGAGAGAATATATATTAGATATAGGAGTATTGAAAGAATTGCTGAGATTTTTGTCTGAGTTTTTTGGCTTTTTTTGTAACTTACCTTTTTAAAATAAAAGCATGTATAGCATAAATGTTTTAGTGATGAAATGAGCATTCCCGGGTTGCATTAACTTCTTTTAATTCATCAAATATTTATCAAACTATTGTTATCCCTAGTGGGGATAAGTCCTCTCTCTGTTTTGCATTTGAGTCAGAAATGTTTGATGCAGTCCATCTGTTACCAGTCTTTTAAAAGGCTTTGATCTCTGCTTTTCTAATGTGCCATGGAGTTAATATAGTAATAAGTATACTGGATAGCAGTGATGAGACAATTTGCGCAAAGTCGTCTTAAGTGTTATTAAGCATTATGCAAAGCATTTTGAGAATGTTTTGTGTGTATGTCTTAACAAAACTTACCTCTGTGTGGAGATGATACCCTGAAAATGCATATTGCAAAAGTTCTGACTACTATCAAGTGTACTACTCTAATAGAACAACAATTTACATATGGCAAAATTGATTTGGGATTTGGAACAAAAGTAGCCGATTCTGAATTATGGTAAGTATATGAAATGTTGGTATTTACATATGCTTTTTGTTGTTGTTGTTTTCAAAAGACACAGAAATTCAGTGTTTATTTCAATTCCTAAATGTCTACAACTGTTGAAACTGGGGCAAGCTGAAGCCTGGAGCTGGGAGCTAAGTCTGGAACTTTCCTATGGATCATGGGGACTTAGTTTTTATGCTGTCGTCTGTTGTCTTCAAACGTGTGCCTTAGCAGGAAGCTGTATCAGAAGTGAAGGAACTGCTACTAGAACCAGTCCCTGATATGCGGCACTGCTGTTCCAGGCAGCACCCTAAGTACTACACCGAATGCCCACTGCATGGCTTGTTTAATTTTTTTGATTATCTAAGGTTCTCAACATGTTTTCTAGAGCTTCTTTAAATTGTACTTGTTCATTTAATTTTATATTTTTAAATGAAAAGATTTGCAGATTATTAATTTTTTTGAAGGAAGGCAGGCACTACTGATGATTCCCTAACAATAAGCCTGACTATTCTTCTAAACTATTCTTTCTAACATACCAGTGATTGGAGCCCAGCCAGATGGCCTAGTGGCTGAATCTTCTCATTGCACACCTGGAATCCCTTATGCGTGCCAACTCGTTTCCCAGCTGCTCCAATTCCCATCCAGTTTTCTGCTTGTGGCTTGGGAGAGCAGTAGAGGACGGCCCAAGACCTTGGGTCCTTGTGCCCACTTCAGATCATCTCATCTCTGACCCATTGCAGCCACTTGTGGAGTAAACCAATGGATGGAGGATCTCTCTGTCTCTCCATCTCTGTAAATCAGCCTTTCCAATAAAAATAAATAACTATAATAAGTAAGCAAATAGATTAATTAATTAAATGCCAGTGATACGTAAAGATAGATTTGGTAGAAGTAATGAGACATTTTTTATGCCTTTCTGCCTTGTTAACAGAGTCCATCTAATAAATATTGACAACTAAGTGGTAGACACTGATTATGTCAGTAAATCTGATGCTCAGCAAGAAGAAAAAACTGTTTTGTGAATTCTCTTTTTAAGTACAAAACAGAGAGCGTGTCTTTGTGATCATTCACTAGGTATCTGGTGTTCTCTATCTTCTAAGCTTACCCTGTATTCAGAGCTGCAGTTGAATGAGTTTTATTTCCAAGAGCACTAACTACTTGAAGCAGAAAATTAAAGTATATATTGACATTTAAGAGTAGGAAAAAAATTGTAGACATTGATGCCAGTTATGAACTATAACAGTGTTGATCTTTGTGATATTTGTACTTTACAGTAGAAATAATACTTAGGTACAGTTGAGTTTTAACAAACAAAAGTGATTGTTCCTTTCATTCATTTAAGAAGAAATGATCAGGGATAAACACTAAGACATTTTTTAATTACCTGATTTAAATATGTAATTTTTTTAAAGCAAACTTGCTGCTGATGTAATTTTGAAAACTCTTGATTTGATGAACAAACTAAAACAATTAGTTCCTGGTATGGAAGTAAGCTTCTACAAAATCCTTCAGGTGAGTATAAATTCTTTAAATGTTGAAGTTCCTTTGTACTTAAGTGTTTTCTAATCCTTGAAAAGATGCTTCTCTTAGTATTCTCCATCAAGAGAAAGGTTAAAGTTAATGGTGTTCAATGTGATGGTGTTCTTACTAGACATACATTTTACATAATTTCACAGAAATTGAAGATAATTACTTATGATTCTAAGATTTTCATTCTTGTATTTGTAGTACCTGAACAAGAACTCTAGGTCTGAAAATGCAAAATACAAAACTCTAATCCTAATCCTAACCCTAACCCAATTTATTGTGATATTTGGCTTTTATTTGCTGTTATGGAATCAGGTAATGTAAGTATGTTCCCATGAGCTCAGCAAAGGAAGTTACCTTTATAGACACAAAAGAAATAAAGAAAGCAATAATGGAACAAAATGACTACCTGTTTCAGTTACTTTCCTTAGAGAATTAAAATAAGAGAACTTCCTTTTTTGGTTTTTGTCTTCATTTTTTTAATGGACACATTTTAAAACTCAGTTTGATTGTGTGACACCCAAATGATTGGTTTTGTTTTGGTCTGGCTTTTTGGGGTCCAGTACAGATGCCTAGCCAGAACCATGGCCTAATGTACATTTTGCTTTACAATGTCCACCTTAATATCTGCTGCACCTGGATTATAATAAATGTTTAAAAACAATGTGTAAATTAAGTTATTACAGTAACATAACAAAAAATATCCTTACAGTAGACACCCAGACTTAAACCTTAGGCAGTCGCTGCTTGAGGGCCTTGACAGAATCGTGGTTAAGAGACTGAATCAGAGACCAGCATGATGGCTCAATTGGCTAATCCTTTGCCTGATAGTGCTGGCATCCTCTATGGATGCTGGTTCCTATCCCCGCTGCTCCACTCCCCATCCAGCTACCTGCACGTGGGCTGGGAAAGCAGTAAAAAATGGTTCAAAACCTTGGGAGCTTGTACGCACATGGGAGACATTGAAGAGACTCCATGGTTGCCAGGTTCAGATGGGCTCAGCCTCGGCTGTTGCAGCGCCCTGGGGAGTGAACAGCATTTCAGAACTTTCTTTCTGTCTCTCCTCTCTGTACATTTGCCTTCCCAATAAAAGTAAGTAAATCTTTATGAAAGAAAAAAAAACAAAAACTGAGTCAAAATATTGACTCTACCAGTTGTTGAGCAATGAAAACTTGAGGAAGTCATTTCAGCTGTTTGAATTTCCATTTCCTTTACTAGAAACTGAATTTCCTCTATGGGAAGAGATGTGAAGGTGAAAGTTTTATATATATATAAAACATGTAATTTATATAATTTTGTAGCATGAATTTTGCTTGAATATTTACAAGACATTTTAATTTCAATTCTTTACTTTGTTAAATCAAATCAGTTTGATTTATGTCAATTCTTAGGATATATCTTCATAGTAAGTAGAGCTTATGGAACAAATGTAAAATATTGGCATGCAGGACCTGACCTACACTTGGAATGTTTCAAGTATGTTCTTGCAGTCATTAAATCTGGCTTGATTAACTTGAATTTTCCTTTTCTTTTCATGGAAATGATAATCCAATTTTAGTTTTTCTTATAAATGATAACTGGGAAAAGTGAAACAATAATCCATAAGTCATGGAATCTTAAATTCATCAAAAACATATAATTTACATAAGCTCAGTTGAACGTGCTCAAAAGATTTTTATGTTCATATTGGTTCTATGACTATGAATATCTATAATTAAACAAAGTCTAGAGACATTGAAACAGCAGTTAGAAACCATTTAAATTTGACATAGAATTACTTTATGATTAGTTCTGTTTACTTCCCTTTCCCTAAGGAACCTGATATTATTTACTCTTTCTGCTTATTGTTTGGTTTCTGATTTGTTTAGGATTCACGTTTGATTACTCCTTTGGCTTTTGCTTTAACATCAGATAATAGAGAACAAGTGCAGTCTGGCTTGAGAATACTGTTGGAAGCTGCTCCACTCCCAGACTTTCCTGCTTTAGTGTGAGTTTGATTGTTTGTAATATATCTTTAACTGTTGGGGTATCCACTGTTTCTCTGGTAATCCTGAAATAATTAGAGATTTTATTGAAAATCAGTACTCTTTCAGTTAACTTTTAAAAATAAATTTATTTTATTTTTGATGATGTTTATATAATTAAAAGGATGCTTGCCTATGTGGGCCACTGATTAGGGTGTGGAGGGTTGAGGAATGGGGCAAAGTAGATGAGACAGATTTTTCCAACCTCCTTTTTTCTTCCTGTGTCTGGGGAAAGAAGGGAAGGGGTTGCTCCCAGTAGTCCTATAGCATCAGCACCCAGGCATGGAGGATGGCCATATGATGTCATCCTGTGGTCCCCCATGTGGAGCATGCTCTAAGGGTACTGCTTGAGTGGTTTTGATAGTTCTGAAATGCTATTGATTGTTGATTTCATTGCTCCAAGGTCTACTGGTTGACATAGTTTAACTTAGAGTCTCGATTTGCCCAGATATCCATTGTTGAAGCTTCTTCAGGAGAGTTGTCCAATTTGTCCTATCCTTTGTGTTACTAGATGTTCTATGCAGGCCTTAATGAGCTTGTTTTTCCTAAAAATCTAGGCATGCTGTCCACTGCACAGGCCTCAGCAACCATGGAGACCCAGTTCTGATGTACTCCATAGTCAGATTACATATCCTATGATTTCCCCCATGGTTGAAGTTCTGAGTCTAGTGGTCCAATCAGGGGGCATCTCCAAAGAAACCTTACCCGAAATGACCCCAGACCTAACTCCTGTGTGTGCCAGCCAGTGTGGGGTCCAACTCAGTCTGTCACCCCCATCAGCCTACACTAATGGTTGCAGTTGCCTGGTCAATTCTTTCCTCAGTCCCATCTCATTCACAAAACAATAGATGCTGCAGCCCAGCCCATCTCTGCTCATCATACACTCAGCCATTACACACACCAGCAGGAACCACAGCCTAGTGGGAGCGGCCCTCATAACCCCCACTAGACCCACCCATTCCTGGTTGCTGCAAATGCCAGTGTGTACAGCAGACTGGTCCAGTCTGTCCCGCGTCCCATTTGGGTCTTGTAGGTATCAGTGGATCTTGAAGCCTATAGTTCAGCCTGCCAATACCGCTATCCATCCTACACTCATTCTGGTGAGTGCTACTGCCTGTACAGCCAGGTCCACTGTCAGCCCTGGCTCCCATGCTCACCAGTGGGAGCTGCAGCCCATCAGAGGGGTGCCCGGACTTTTTCTAACAGGCCAAATCATAGGCCCAGACCTTGCACTTTCCAAAACATGTTTTATCTTGATGTCCCAGATTATTTTAAGAATATGTGAAAGATTCTAATTGTTTTCTTAAAATAAGATTTCATTTATTTGAAAGGCAGATTTACAGAGAAAGATCTGTCCACTGGTTTAGTCCCCAAGTGGCCACAACAGCTGGAGCTGAGCTACTCTGAAGCTGGGAACCATGCTCCCATACTGGTGCATGCTCCCATGCCGGTGCAGGGTCCCAAGGCTTTGGGCCATCATCTGCTGCTTTCCCAGTCCACAGGCAGGGAGCTGGACAGAAAGTGGAGCGACCATGAGAGTAGTCAGCACCTGCATGGGATCTCGGCATGTTCATGGCGAGGGTTTGCCTGTTGAGCTGTTGCTCGAACCCCAGAATATCTTAATTATGTATCATTAAGATATTAATAAATATCTTAATTATTGGCTCCATTTTTATGTAACTATTTCTTTTATTACTCTTTTGATTCCCATCCAGACTTGGAGAAAGTATAGCAGCAAATAATGCCTACAGACAGCAAGAAACAGAGCATATACCTAGAAGGATGCCTTTGCAGTCATTAAATCGCAATGTTTCTGCTTCGAAAAAGTGTGTAACCCCTCCCATTCCGAAAGACTGTGTTCCTGGGTTGAATATCGAAGAATTAATAGAGAAACTTCAGTCTGGAATGGTGGTGAGTGAAAGTAGCAGTTATAAGTGGGTTTCCCTGCCATGTACTGATTTATGTCTGTTCAGCTTTTTTACATTTTAACAACTTTATGTAAAAACTTGGTCTTTGAAACCTTTTATATAAAAAGTAGCAATTGCCTAGAAAGTTTAAAAAGAAAAGAAGAAAAACTAGTCAGAAAACATAAATTGTTCTTTCCCTAGTCCTCCTCCCTCCCGCTTCCATCTACATCCATCCATCTTAGAAATATTTTTTAATTGATGCAAGCATACCAAATCTTAAATTTTTCTTAAGTAGCTAGAGTAATGAAATATTTGTGACCCAACTTATTAAGTGATTTTTAAAATGTCTTGTTAAATTTTATTGATTTGGCTGCCAGGTATTTATGTTATTTTGTCTAAATATTTTGATTTTTCACTAGGTAAAAGATCAAATTAATGATGTGAGAATATCTGACATAATGGATATATATGAAATGAAATTGTCCACATTAGCTGTGAGTACAGGTGTGTTTTAATAACAGATTTTTGTAGGTGTTTTCTTTAAGCAAGAAAAATCAGTGTTGTGTTTTTTCTTACAGTCCAAAGAGAGCAGGCTCCAAGATCTCTTGGAAGCAAAGGCTCTAGCCCTTGCACAGGCCGATAGACTGATTGCCCAGTACCGTTGTCAGCGAACTCAAGCCGAGACAGAGGTATGCGACCAACTAATTGGAACAAAGATTAATGGAGTAAAAAAAAAATGCGAAGTATTAGTTAAATGTTTGTTATACTAGTTGGAATTGTCCTCAGCACTTGACATGACAATTTCTACCATCTTGAATTTTCTCCGTCATTATCTTTTATTTCTAAACCACTCTTAAGTATTGGAACTCCCCAGGGTTAAGGATTATATTTCAAACTCTTTCATTTTTGTGTTGCACAATTGCCAAAATATTAATTTTTTCATTTTATATTTGGAGCACTAAATGACTCTCTTTAGCTCTATTTTAATATAAATACTTCAAACTCAGCCTCGCTAGTAATAAAATAATCACTATTCCCCGTTTGGTTTTCTGTGTCCTCATATCAGCTTTAAAACTTTTCCAAATTAGAAATATGAAAGTTATATGATTTGCTTCATAATTATTTATCACATTGAACAGATTGTACTTTTTTTTCTAAAGATTTATTTTGTTTTTATTGGAAAATCAGATATACAGAGAGAAGGAGTTTCAGAGAGGAAGATCTTCCATCTCTTGAGTCATTCCCCAAGCGGCCACAATGGCCAGAGCTGAGCCGATCCAAAGCCAGGAGCCCAACACCTCTTCCGGGGTCTCCCATGTGAGTGCAGGGTCTCAAGGCTTTGGTCGGTCCTTGACTGCTTTCCCAGGCCATAAGCCGGGAGCTGGATGGGAGGCGGTGCTGCCAGGATCACAACTGGCACCCATAAGGGATCCCGGTGCATGCAAGGTGAGGACTTTAGCTACTACGCTAGTGCGCTGGACCCGATTATATCTTTTAAGTGTTAGTGTTTCATGCCTTCTCTATGTTTCTGTCGTTTTTTGCTATAGACCTTAACCTTTTCTCTTTTCATTAAAGTAGGAGGCAAGCCTATAATTAGCTTTCTTCCACTTGCTGTCCTGTTAGTTACCCTCTGTGCCATAGCCAGTCATGCTGCCTTCTGTATTTGGTTCTTTCCTCCCTCATCCCCTCCCCGTGAATCTAAAGCAGGAACTTGATACTGCTCTGTCAGTGCTGAGCAGCTTATTAGGAGCTGCCGTTGCTTTCAGAATATCATTAAAATTTCTTAGTTTGGCATACTAGGATTCTAGCTATTCCTCAATCCATGTCTGATATTCTTACACAAGTTTTGTAGCCAACATTTTAGGTTACTTTGTATTTTCTGGAACTGCCCAGATTCTTTTTTCCTGTCTTTGTGCCTTTCCCTCTTTTCCTGGCTAACTACTCATAATACTTAAAATTTCTATTTAAATACCTCCAATTCCCAGAATCCTAGTACTCTTCTCTCTTCCCCACATATATTTGACAGTCTTTCCCTGATGTCTGCACCTGGCATTTATGTGTTTACTACATTTCTTATATCATTTGAAGATCCTATTATCTCCCACTGCCACCTGGATGCCAGAAGCTGCCCCTGCACCTGCAGAGCCTACCATAGGCTTCGAGCTGGGCATGCTTGGCAATGAGCTGTGCGCATGTAGATACTTAATCTGTACCTGATAGGTAAGAATTTACTGCAGTAATGGGAAATTCCCAGCAAAAACAAATGGAATATACACAACTTGATTTCATTTCCAGAGAATCATAATGAAGTTGTCTGAGTCTGATATCAGTAACAAAACATCTTTAAATCATTTCAGAGTAATTCTGCCAAAGATGAAATTCTTTGTTATTCTTATTTTAATATAGTTTCATTTGTCTTCTCTAGTATGTTAAAAGCATCATCAATTTTAAGCAGGAAAATTACTGATGCTAAAATCTTTTTTGTTGTTTTTTCGTGGCCGAGTGAGTGCCACGCTGGGTCTTGGCTTACTTGGCCTGTGCAAGAGGGAGTAGGAACAAGGTTTCGGTGCATGTCTAAAGACTCAAGACCCCTCCGCCTCCTTGGTTTTGGCAAAAGCCTTAAAACGCTTCTCCTGTTTCGACAGAACCTTAAACCCCTGTGGACCCATGCAGTTGGCAAAAGGCCCAAGGCCCTCTAGGTATTTCCCTCCCCATCAACCTCTTCTGGTAGTTTGGTTACTTTCCCAAGGCTTGGTCACCTCCTACCCTGGCCCATACCCATCTTATGGTAAACTTGTAATAGTCTTGTAATAAACAGCTCCAAAATGCCGGCGGGTTGCTTAAGTTGTAGTGAGCTACACAGTGCCACCTACAGGGAAAATAAGTAACAGTTATACTAATTGGCTAGGCTTATAATATGTAATAAATACTTATATCCAATAAAAATATTATTACTACCGTACGGTTTGTTCCCCTAAACGCTTCCTATAAAAGCTTGTGCTTAACTATCCCTAAAGGGGCAAGTTCACCATAATTGTCTCTGATATTTATCTATTAAAAATGCTGTTGCCACACTACATTACCTGGGTTGGTGGTCTGCAGCCACAGCCCCCACATTTTTTGGTCCTTCCTCGTAGCATGCTATATTGTGTCTGGACATTTCTCCAATTCTGTTAGAGAATTTAATATTCCATCCATGTTACTGGGAAAGCTTCATATGAAACTAAAACTGAATAATTGAGTGTTACATCTTTGTAGTCGATGTCATCAACAGAGAAGGGCTTAAGTTCTCACTTGGCAGTTAAAATTAAGCAGTACTTTATGACCAAAGGAATGGGAGGAGTCCACATCTGAATCCATTTGCTTTTCCATTTATTTAGTGTTTCAAGTCACTTGTGAAATAAAGTCTTATTTCCTGGTTATAATAAGTGTTTGATTAAGCATCTGTATTTTAGCTCAGATTTTATTCTTACTTCTTACCTGAAGGGGAAACTTGTGCCAAGTCATTAGAGTAGTATTAATGGCAAAGTCAGCTACAAAGACCACAATTTTGTTCATTTCTATTAACCTGGTCATAGTAAGATTAGTTTTGCCTGAACAATCTATTGAATAAAATCTGACAGGTTAAACATCCCTAATCTGAAAATCTAAAGTACTTCAAAATAGCACCGACATGATTTATGAAGATGTATCAAGTGAAAAATATATGTATTGTGAAACTGTTTCATATACAACATTTTTTAAAAGATTTACTTATTCTTATTTGAAAGGTAGATATACAGAGAGGAGGAGAGACAGAAAGGAAGATCTTCCATCTGATAGTTCACTCCCCAAGTGGTCGCAACGGCTGGAGCTGAGCTGATCCGAAGCCAGGAGCCTCTTTCAGGTCTCTCATGAGGTGCGGGGTCCCAAGGCTTTGGGCCGTCCTCGACTGCTTTCCCAGGCCACAAGCAGGGAGCTGGATGGGAAGTAGAGCTGCCAGGCTTAGAGCCGTCACCCATATGGGATCCTGGCACATTCAAGGAGGGGATTTTAACCACTGTGCTATCATGCCAGGCCCACAATAACATTTTTAATGGTAACATGCAGAGTAATCTTCAGCCTGTATGTATGGGTACATATGAAGCATAAGTAAATTTCATGTTTTGAGTTAGAACCTATGTCCAAAATATGCTTGTGTTTGCAAATTTTCCAACAAAAATACTTCTAGTCACATTCATTGGATTAAGCAGTACTCAACATTGAACCAGATTTATTAGGAACAGTTAAGCAATAAGTGCATGCATGCCATATCTACTTACTGAGACTTAATATAAACCCAGTAGGTACTGCTCTAATAACTTTTTGGTGAATTTTTCAAATTGTAGAAACTTAAATATATTATATAAATGATAATGGAGATATCTTATGTCCTGTGTTCTCTTAAGGCACGTACACTTGCTGGTATGTTGAGAGAAGTTGAAAAGAAAAATGAAGAGCTTAATATGTTGCTGAAATCACAGCAGGTTGAATCAGAGAGAGCCCAGAGTGATATTGAACATCTCTTTCAACACAACAGGAAGCTGGAATCTGTGGCTGAAGAGCACGAAATATTGACAAAATCATACATGGAATTGCTTCAGAGGTAATTGCATGGGTAAAACGTAGAAGGAACACACATTTCTTTTCCATGAGCCTGAAACGCATGTGGAACCATTTCTTGTACTCTGTTAATAGTGTAAAATAAGGGTAAGAATAAGTGAGAAACTTGTCATAGTGAAATGAAGCACTGCTTAAACTAACTCATTACCAAAATTTCAGAACGTGATTTCTATACAGCTGCCTTTCCTTTCCTTTTTCCTGTACTTGGCAGTCATCTAAGTTATAAGCTCTGTCAAGGACACATTTCTTTAGATTTTTTTTTTGATTGATTGATTTATGTAGTTGAAAGGCAGAGTTACAGAGACACAGGGAAAGAGATTTTGTCACCTACTGCCTCACTACCCAAATGACCTCAGTGGCCTGGACTACACCAGGCCAAAGCCAAAAGTTAGGAGCCTCTACGAGATCTCCCTCCTGGTGGCCAGGCATCTCTGCTGCCTTCCCACAACAACTGCAACAGGAACTGACATGGAAATGAAGTGCTTGTGTCAGGCAGAGGCTTAACATATCATGCCACAAGTCTAGCTGCAAAGTTCTTCGGAAATAGCTATGACCTAGAACACTGCTTAGTGTACAGAGTTGAACACACTATGGATAATCTTCTTGCGTGAGTTTAATTATTGCCATTATTGTTAGCTGAACCCAATGAACTAGTCATTTTTGCAAATTAAGTGTAGTTGATTATTAACAGTTTCATGTCATTCAGCCTAATAGTGCAGAAATTTGTTATTTTGGTTCATTTCTTAATTTCTTTAAATATGGTTACTTCATGTGTGACTGTATGTAGAACAAGTTATTTTTCATGAATTGTTAGAATACGTGCATATAAAATGTTGATAAATATTTCCAGATTTCTAACCATAAAAGTCTTAGCAGCTGGAGGCCAATTCCAGCTGAGTTCGGAACTCAAGAAGGGTGCGTGAAATAGGTGTAGACAGAAAGGAAACAGACCACTACGATTTCAGGATTGTAATGGACAATGCACGGAAGCTGGCGCCTGTATTTATACAGAAGCAGTCACAAGCTCTGGCACAGACTTTATGTCATGGTGTTTCATCCACTCGACCGCAGAGTGTGGTCCACGAACAGTACAATGACAAAGTTTTCTTTGGGGCAGTTTGACACAGCTTCAAGGGGGGCACAATTATAACATGTGAGTGAGGAGGGATTATACATCCCTTTCTTATCTCGGCTTGCCAGCCCCTGCCTGCTCTCCTCAGGTCTGGGCTCTAACCTTGGTGCCACCTGTGACAACCAGACCCCGATCTTCATCTGTGGGTTAGTAAGTCTGGGGCCTTGGTTTGTCGGGATTGGGGCCAATGGCACTAATTGGTCATTAGGCCTGCAAGCTCACACAGTTTGTTACCTAACCAAGTAAAGCAGGAGTTATAAAGGCAAAAAGAATTGCAGTTAGCAATGAGCCATGTTTACTCCATTTTGATTTTAACTCTACAATGGACAAGTGGGTGTCCAACTCATATTAATCAATAATGCACTCCTACTACAATTCTCATTCTACAACTTATCGGAGGAGAAAATATATCACAAAAGGAGAAACCTAAAGATCAAGGAAAGAAAACCCTAAATATAGATTCCCACTACACTCATAGACTCAGTAATCCTAAATTAGTTGGAAAGCATGTGTTATGATGTTAGCACAGACATTGCTGAGCTCTTCCAGCCAAAGGGTCATAAGAGCAACCGAGACAGCGTACATTATTAAAGACCTGTTCACCAAGACGTTACCAGTAACATTAACTGCCAAGCTCTCTTTGGCAGTAAAAACCATTTCGCAGGGGCAGACAATGCCTCAATAAATTACAGAACTCTTAGCAGGGTGGCCAGGTGTCCTTGCAAAGGGAGGTGGATTCAGATGGTTGCAGAGACATCCGCGTGGCCCTGCCAAAGAGGGGAGCTGTTCTCTTCACACCTTCCTGTCGCCCACTCCTACTGCACCGACCCCAGCACCTAGCAATTTGTATATGTACTAAGTTTGATTTTTTTTTTCTCCCTTTTATCAGACTGTTTCAGGCCAGTTTTTAAACTTCTGAGTTATAAGGAAAACAAGGAATAATTGTACATTTCACGTTGTCTATCTAGAAATAAAGTGAAAACACTCTGGGAAACTTGCATATTGTTGAATTTATATTTTAATTTTATCCCTTGCTGTTAATATACAATTCTAGAAATTTGTAACTTTGTCAAATCTATTAAGAAATAAATATATAAAAAGTTTGTGATGATAAGTTAGTTTCTGAAGAAGATATTTTCCCCTAACAAAAACTTCTTCCAAAATCTGAATATGGCAATACTAGAAGTAGACACTGTTAGTGGTGAAATGATTTAAAAACTGGGGCAATGAGCAGAGTGATCTTAAGAGAGAGGACAGTGGACTCAGAAATATGTGATCTCTAGGAATTGCTTACGGCCTAGTTTGTGAATTAGAGACAGAGAATGCTTGAATGGCCCGATGCTTATAATAAATAAAGCTGTCTGAGAAGTTAGAACTGCCTGAAGGTGTTCAAATTCAAACTGACCGAAACTCATTGTGAAATAAAATAAGACTTACCCTGGCCTGGTGTGCTTTGTGCTACCATTTTCTTCCTTCTGTTATTGTCAGTGAAATCAAAATAACATCTTATGCCTAAGAAAGATGGCTGTGTATGTATTTTTACCAGATTTGTGTAACACAATATCTACTGTAAAATGCTGTGTATGTAAAAATACAAAGTTAATGCTCCACACTAGTTTTTTTTTTTTATTTAACTACCTCCGCTAGCTAGAACTTTACTTTATTAATCTTTTAGGTTTGATAATTCTACTTATGTTCTTGTTTCTAATGTCTCTTATTTATGTTAGTTAATAACAAAGAAAATGCTGAGTTTCTTTTGTCTGATTTTTTTCACAATGAAAATACCAGTTCATTTTCTTGTTTTTTTTTTTTTTTTAGAAATGAAACTGCTGAGAAGAAGAATAAAGATTTACAGATCACTTGTGATTCTCTGAATAAGCAAATTGATACAGTGAAAAAATTGAATGAGTCACTCAAGCAACAAAATGAAAAGTAAAATCTCTAGTTCAATAGTCTATGTAGGGGATATTCAAAACAATTTTCGCTCTATACAATGATTTTTATTGATAAAATTAATAGAGTTGTGAGCTTTTTATACTGATTATGTGTTTTTACAGTATCCTGTTTTTATAAATTTTCTCTTAAATACATTTCAGGAAGAAAATCTGAAATGATACAGTTCATTGATATTTTGTTGTTGTTTTTTTAAATAACTTTAGGACTATCACCCAATTAATTGAAAAAGAAGAGCAAAGAAAAGAAGTACAGAACCAGTTAGCAGACAGAGAGTGTAAACTAACAAGTAAGTGGGTTCTTATTTAATATGTAAGGCCTTCAAAAAGTTTATGGGAAATGTGAGTAAAAAAAATTGTGTAGATTTCAAAATATTTTTCTATCAAAATAAACCTGCACTTTAATTCTTTTCCATTAACTTTTTGAAGTGCCCTTACATATTTTCTATTTTTAACATACTTGTGTTGGAGGAAAATCAAAGCCTGATTTTTCTATTTTTTACTTTTTAATTATTTTCTATTTTTCCCGTTTTGAAAACTTGAAATCTAATGCTAAAAACTTCCCCTTCACCAAACTGCTCCCTTCACCAAAGTAAGTTGTGCACCATTGATTAAATGAAAAAGAACAACACATTGTTTAAAATCTGAGGGTAATGAGAAATCTGCTTTTGAAAATTCAAAGCAAAATTAAGGAACAGAACAGCAGGGGGCAGTGCTCGGTAACTTTTGGTTGCTGGCTGCTTAAGGGAATATCTAAAGCCATCCACAAAAGATTGCTGTCCTGGCTCACTAACCTTACAGGACAGTTATCTTCATATATGCTGTTTCACAGTTATCAGTCCTCCATTTCCTTCTAGCCCTTAAGCTCTAAGGGTTCTTTTCTTACGAGTATATTATACTGAGAACAGTGAAAGGGGGAGAGCCACAGAAATAGTGTTTTTCTCAAGTATTCTGGCACACAGGGAGAGTATCATGGTTTTCTTTACTCAGCAGATATTATTTCATTATTTCATTTCCAACAAGAGAGTTCTTAATTTTTCTAGTTTTGTTTCTTTTAGTCTTAGACTAGCTACTAAGCCTTCTCGGGGTATTGTTGGCATGGTGAGACTGCTGAGCGTATGACTGACTTGTTTGTTTTAAGGTTTACATCAAAAAACAAAAGCACAAGAAGAAAAGATTAAAATCTTACAAAAAGAAAAGGAAGATAAGGAAGAAGCCATTGATATCCTTAGAAAAGAATTAAACAGAACAGAACAAATAAGAAAAGAATTGAGCATTAAGGTAAGAATATGTTGAGTTCTCACTTTCAATAAAATAAGTCTTATTTTATGAAAAAGAATTTGGATAAATTATTATTATCTCTTCAGGCAGTTTTCTTTAGGAGGTACAGAATAAATCTTTATTACAATGGGAAAACATATCTTCTAAGATTCTAACATACTGTATACTTGATGTTTTCAGGTATGTGAAGAAATAGGAAAGATTACCCAGTTTTGTGGGGTTTTTTTGTTGTTGTTTTTTTTTAAGCTTTATTTATGTGAAAGAGTGATTGAGAGCGCACAAGACAGAAAGATCTCTCAGCTGGTCCACTCCCAAATGACAGCAATGGCTCGAGCTGGACCAGGTTAAAACCAGGAACCAGGAATTCCACCCACATCTCCCACATTGTTCAGGCGCCCGCATGCTAGGGCCGTTTCCAAGTACATTAACAGGAAGTTGGAGCAGGAGCAGAGTCGATGGAATTTGAAGCAGCATTCTGATAAGGAATGTCAGCACTGTACACAATAGCTTTAACCTACTGCACCACAGCACCAACCTCCCACCCCCCGGGCTCCCTCTTGTTCATGTCACATGTAGGTGTTGTCTGAGTGTACAACCTTGTCTTCTTGAGGGAATAACGACAATAGTAGTAGTTCCTACTTGTTCATGGCTGTATAATGTGCCAAGGATTCTTTGAAACTTTTTCTTAATACTTCTCATTTTAGCCATGTTAGTATAAGAGGTCTTTGAAAGGTTCATGGAAAATGAAAACACTGCATGGATGGGTTTCAAGTTTTTCCACCAGTGTCAGCATTATGGGATGTGTCTTTAAAATTCTTGTCTTGGGCCTGGTGTGATATCGTAGTAGCTAAAGTCCTCACCTTGCATGTACCAGGATCCCATATGGGTGTTGGTTCGGGTCCCAACGGCCCTGCTTCCCATCCAGCTGCTTGCTTGTGGCCTGGGAAAGCAATGGAGGATGGCCCAAGGCCTTGGGACTCTGCAACCTATGTTGGAGAGGCCTGAAGAGGCTTCTGTTCTAGCTTCTGGGTTCAGATCGGCTCAGCTCCAGCTATTGCGGCCACTTGGGGAGTAAATCAGTGGATGGATGATATTCCTCTCTTTCCTTCTCTCTGTATACCTGTCTTTTCAATAAAAATTTAAAAATTTTTTTTTATTTTTTGTGTTTTAATGCCATTTTTATAGACTTTTAGGGTTACTCATATATGCTGATTCACTTACAGATGGAGAAGCAGGTTATTTGCTAAGTCACACAGCTCATCACAGGAACAATACACATATTCTGAATTTTAATCTGCTGTTCTCTTTTATTATGTCTACCTAGCCTGAAGGATAGGGAGGAATTGTGCTTTCTGTACCAGACATAATAAGGAAGAAGAAAGCAGACCAAGGCTGGGGAATCGACACAATAGTTAAGACATACTTCTAGATCCCTTGTGAGCATGTCTGTGTTTCCTAGTCCCACTTCCCAGTTCTAGCTTCCTGCTAATGTCCAACCTGAAAGACAGCAGGTTTGGGCTCACCTGCTTTGATCCCAGTTGTGCGGGCATCGCGTTATGGAATGAACCAGCTGATGGGAGAACTGTTTTCCTTGCTGCTGTGTCTTTAAATTCAAATGAAAATAATTTGACAAATTATTTTTTATTTTTCTAAAAGAAAAAAACTGAACCACTTCAGATTACAAATAACAAAAGAGAAATAAAATGTAATGCCATGCTGTATTTACAACTTTTTAAAGTTCTGCTGTGATATGGTTATCTTATTAACTGTATAGTAGTATGTGGTATTATTTTGCAGAATTTGAGTTGTTAGCATGATCTAAAAGCATAAGTTGAAGGTATTTTACTAATTTACATTAAACTGTTTTAATTACTTGCCTTACACTTACCATATAATTTAATTAATCAGATATACAAAAATATAGTGGCTTGAAATGATTATAAGAAATCAAAAGCATCTTAAAATTTCCATGAAAAGAAAATATCCAGCTGTTCCCTTAATTTTTCTTTCTACTCCCTCCCCTCCCTAGGCGTCATCCCTTGAGGTTCAGAAGGCCCAATTAGAAGGTCGCTTGGAAGAGAGAGAATCTTTGGTGAAGCTTCAGCAAGAGGAGTTGAACAAACACTCTCACATGATAGCAATGATCCACAGTTTAAGTGGTGGCAAAATAAATCCAGAAACTGTCAATCTCAGTATTTAAATTTAGATGTGTAATCTCTTGAGTTTTTCTTCATTTATCTGTTGGAAAAGAGTAGGTAAGAAACATAACTTGTGACCCCAAAGCAATAGGAAGTGATTATCTGATTATTAATTTAGTAAAGAATCTGATCTGATGCACGTTTTTGTTTTTGTTTTTTTAAATACAGATTTTCTTTTTGAAAGATGTCGTTTATGTTTCTAGCTTTTTTGCTTAAAGCTAGCTTATTGTGAAATTATTCTTCAATTTTTAAAACTTCTTTCCTTAGTTTCTATCCATGTTCTTTGGCTAGTCTAATTTATTCTCATTTGGATGGCAGTCATGGGTGGCTTAAAAATATGGCACATTCTGAAAAGGCAATCGCTACACTATCAGTGTTATTCATCGTTATAGGATATAGCAACATGAGCTGTATGATAGCATCTTCCGGATCATTATCACATATGTAGTCTATCAACTGAAGCGCTGTTCTGTGACACTTCAGTATAATTGTATTTATACTTTAATACAAACTTTCTTGGTAGAACAAAGATTGGTACATTAAAATTGCAATTATTAGTAAAAAGATGGAAAGTATGATACTGCTACAAAAGTTTTTCTCCTGCATGAAAGAAATGGTGATTTTAACTGTTGTTTATTTTTCCATTTAAGATAAAGTGAAATGTGTGGCATAAGTTCTACATTCAGTAAATAGTACTCAGAAATACTATGTAACAATTAGAAATAGATATTATTAGTTGACCTTCTTGTTTGTCTCAAGAAACAATTGTAGAATATTTGATGATAGCTTTAGTTGCCATTTTATGCTTTTTTAAATGATCCAATTATTTCATACCCAGTAAATTATGTTTACATAATTGGCTTTGCATTGCGGCAATTTGGATTTTTTTATTACTACATATTCAGAAGCATCATGTATTGTTAATTTTAAGTGATTTGCACTTAACATATTATTAGATGGGTTAAATATCCCAATATCTATATTACTTTAACACAAAGGAAGTTTTCAGTACTTTGAATTTAAATCAGATATTCATTTAATGTTTTCTTTATTTTGTATCTCTGATATAGGTGGATTTTTAATCTTCAACCATAGTATACCAGAGTTTCTCTTTAGAAGTTAAACATGTTTTTGTATTTCACTAATTACTTAAAGTAATACCAAATTTTATATATTTTTGTATATTTTTTCCATTCTAGGAATTTTCTAAATAATATTTAACAGAGCAAGTTAAGTACTTACTCGGTAGAAACACACTATTTCTCTTCAAATTGCCTATATTTTCGAATTAATATAAAAATTTTTTGGAATAGATACGACTGATAAGCAAAAGATTTCATAAGATAAAAATTAAAGATAAAGAAATAAGTAAATCAGTGATGAAACAAAACCTGTAGGGACAATCACATTGTCTGTAATATTTAAACATTAAGACATTGTGTTTGACCTAATGCTGCCCTATGGAATCTTCTGTGTTGGCTCTATTATCTGTGCTGTCAGTACCACAACTAAGAGGTGATGAGCTGCTTTAGCCTGACCTTGTGGAGTCATATTTAATGAAAAAAAAATACCATTAAATACCATTGCCATTAGCCACTAAACATCACTAGCTCACTAAACATCTGAGTGAGCATTTAAATCTTTTAGTTTTTCGGTGTCAGCATGTTGACTCAACTGGCTAATCCACCACCTCAAGTGCAGACATCCCATATGAGCGCTGGTTCTTGTCCCGGCTGCTTCACTGAATGACCAAGCTCCCTGCTTGTGGCCTAGGAAAGCAATAAAGGACGATCCAAAGCCTTGGGACCCTGCACCTGCATGGGAGACCCACAAGCAGCTCCTGGCTCCTGGCTTCAGGTCAGCTCAGCTCCGGCAGTTGTGGCCACTTGTCTCTCCTCTCTGTATATCTTACTTTCCAATAAAAATAAATAAATATTTATAAAAATTGAATTCATATTTGAATTCTCCATAGGGTTTTACAAATGATTTTCATTATAACAGTAGAGAAAATAAAAACCTAGAAAATGAATCATTACATTGAGATTGCCCAAGTCTTCATAAATTAGATAGGGAGTTTTTCTTCAAGGTGTACTTTAACAAATTTCCTTTTGCTATATAAACTGACCATGAGGAAACATAAATTTCTCTTAACTTTTGCTTTGTTGAGGTTCTAAATTGACATCAGAGTAAGAAAAAGATGCTTATGGAAACAATACTGTGACATAGAAGGAAAATACTAGATTGTATCCTTTTAGGCTCATTTATGCTAAAGACTATTTTAAGAATTAAAAGAAGGCTCGGTGCAATGACTCAGTAGCTAAATCCTCACCTTGCATGCGCCAGATCCCTCATGGGCACTTGTTCATGTCCCAGGTGCTCCATTTTCGTTAAGATCCCTGTTTATGATCTGGGAAAGCAGTAATCCTGCACCCACATGGGAGAGCTGCAGGAAGCGCCTGGCTTTGGATTGGCTCAGTTCAAGGCATTGTGGCCACTTGGGGAGTGAACCAAAAGATGGAAGATATTTGTCCCTCCTTCTCTCTGTAAATGTGTCATTCCTATAAAAATAAACCTTTTTAAAAAAGAGAAATATTTAAAAGAATCTGTCTCAAAATAAGATTGTTTTAGATCTTGTGAAACGTGCAGTCCGTCACAACCACTGAGCTGCACCTGTAGCATAAAGGCAGTCATAGGTAATTTATAATTATTTATGACTTCAATTGAAACTATTATACCATTGGAAGCTGTACTGTTAGCTATTAAATCTCATGAAATGTCTCTGGTCATTTTTTTCTGAGAGTTCTATTTGGTAGTGATACAGTTGCTGCACTCTTTTTATATTTTCTGTTGGCCTAGTGTATCTTTTTTCTATAATTTACTCATTTTTTTTAAAGATTTATTTATTTTTATTACAAAGTCAGATATACAGAAGGAGGAGAGACAGAGAGGAAGATCTTCTGTCCGATGATTCACTCCCCAAGTGAGCACAATGGCCGGTGCTGTGCCAATCCGAAGCTGGGAACTAGGAGCTTCCTCTGGGTGTTTCACACGGATGCAGGGTCCCAAGGCTTTGGGCCGTCCCCGACTGCTTTCCTAGGCCACAGGCAGGGAGCTGGAAGGGAAGGGGGCTGCTGGGATTAGAACCGGCGCCCATATGGGATCCCAGCACATTCTAAGCCAGGACTTTAGCTGCTAGGCCATGGCTCCAGGTCCTATACTTTACTCTTAAGCTGTGTGCTTGCATATGAAATGTGTAACATATATACAACTTAGACTTTGATACTTTCACAATCTTTTTAAAGTTGTGTAATATAGCATAACGTGGAAACCTTGCAGCAGTATAAATCCATTTGTCCTCTTCATCTTCATAACTCGTATGCATGTGCGTATCTGTATGAATGTGTATGTGTATAACTAATCCCTACAATGATACTCTAGATTTTGCTTTAAACAACTATGCAGAAAATCTCTGGTTTTCAGCATCATCAGTGTATTTTCATATTTGCATGTAGTAATAAAAAGTAGTAACATTTAGACCGATACTGGAAACATCCAGTTTCCCTTCCACTTATATCCACTGTTATTCCTCTGTTTGCTTTCTATTCCTCTTTTTTTAAGAGTTATTCATTTTTATTGGAAAGGCAGAATTACAGAGAAGAAGAGAGCCAGAGAGTAAGATCTTTCATTACATGATTCTCTCCCCAAGTGACCACAATGGCCAGAGCTGTGCCGATCCAAAACGAGGAGCCAGGAACCTCTTCCGGGTCTTCCACATGATTGCAGGGTTCCAACATGTTGGGCCATCCTCAACAGCTTTCCCAGGACACAGGGCTAGATGGGAAGTAGGGCTGCCAGGATTAGAATTAGCTCCCATATAGGATCCTGGGCATGCAATGTGAGGACTTTTGCCACGAGGCTACTGTACCGGGCCTTCTGTTCCATTTTAATGGTAGAAAATTGGGCATTTTGACAATGATATAATACACTTTTGAGAATAACAGCCCAAGTGATTTAATTATATCATTGGTAGTATTCAAATACAAAATTCATATTTGAGAATCACTGTGGCATTCAAATTTTTTTTTTGTATGCTGTTACAAGCCAAAAATGAGAATTCCTATTTTGTAGCTTATTACACTTTGGGTTTTGCTTTTCTAGCTAAACATTTTAAATTGAAAATTGTTTATTAAATTCTATTTGGTTTAATACTGGCTGAGGCTTTCACAATTTAAAAAATATAGTATGGAGTCTAAGTAGATTTTTTAAAAATCTAGCTAATGAGCCTGTACTTGGGTATGTATGTCTCTGTATTACGTAAATAGAGTTAAACATTATGAAGTTTAAACAAACAGATCTTTTGTAAATGCAAATCACTTTGCAATCTGTATAGTCTCTTGGTTTGGTAGCTAGCTTGCTTTTTGTAACTAATTTATTGTCTTCCTGTCATTCAAAGACCGTGAGACCTGGCTTATTTATGTTTGCTTTCATCTAAACATTGTAAAAACACCCTAGAGGAAACTCAATCATCAAATCACCACAAATAAATGCCAGTGTAATTCTCAAAACTCAGCTGTTTTACGCTACTGGATATAAATAGCTTTTCATAAAGGTCATTAAATACGAAGAAGATGAAGTAAGCATCTTACTTCTTAAATTTAAATACACTTTTTAGTCACCTCATCCCTCAGGGGACCCAGCATGTGTTTGCTCTTGCTATCCCAAGACAGATGCTCCAAGGATACATAGCAAAGAGCTTTTAATGTGATTCCACTGCTAGATTAGAGAATTACATTTTCAGAGTCAATAAAGTAGATTATGTTTCAGTGTCATTATGTTATTAAAAACTAATTTTCCAGTAAGTAGCTGGGCATTTGGCAAGGATTTAGTAGTGAAGAGAATTCTACCTCTTCATTACATTATCTGTACTGTTACTCTAATGGATGCTTTTCATTTCACTTACCTGAGAAAGCCAAAATATACAGTGTGTTAGAATACTTAATCCTTTTCTCAATCCTCAAATCAAAAGGCTCATGATTAGCCCTAGGAAAGACCACACTGTTCCTGTTCAGTTAGGCAGGATTTTCATTTGCACACAAATAAATGCTAATAGCAGCCAATTTATGTAATTCTCACAG